GGGGGAGGGGAAGGTTTCTGAAGAGGGGAGATGGGGGGGAGGAGGGGAAGGTTTCTGAAGAGAGGAGATGGCTGGTGGGGGGAGGAGGTGCCAAGCCAGCGAGTCTGCGCGTGACAACGTGGCTATCTCAGACACCACAGATGGGGACAGGAGTCTTTCCTTCCACAATGGAAGTCCATAGATTATAGTTATCACAATTGCTTCCCCTCGCCTGACTTAGATGACAGTACTGTGACCTATTTGACCCCCTCTTATGTCTAATTTTATCCCCTGTCTATAAATCTCCAAGGACTCCGGACTGATTTCAATAAACGCCCTGCCCATCCAGCATTTGAGATCTCACAGCCCAGCTGTAACACCCTGTCCAGCCTGTGCAGCAGCCCCAGCTCCGTCTGTCTTGGATGCTCATTGTAGACTTAGAGCCTGTGCACCTGTCGCTCCTTGTGTCTGTGAGTGAGGGGTAACAACTGACCTTGCTGAGGCCTGGCAGAAGAGGGGCACCTCAAATACACCAAGAACAAGCAGCAGTTCCTCATGCACTTAGATATCCACCTTCTACTACCTGTAGAAATCTGGACATAATTTTATATTAAATAAAAAGCAAGGCCTTATACCATTGCTGTTGTTACTTCTACCACTATCAGCAGCTTCTATCTTTAAGGTGCCAGGACCATGAGAAGCAGTTTATCCATATCTTTTTCTCGTAATAGCTTAGGGCAGCAAAGAAACAGTCTAAAGCCGTCACCTGCCCAGGGTCACGCTCTAAGATGGAAAAGTTGCTTTATAGATTTAGTTCTTAAAAACCTTTGTTCCTGCCATCAACCCTCCCAACCTTGACCTTTATCATTATGGAAAAATAAGAAATTAAAAATTTAGCAACAGAAATAAGTAGAGGGCTATTTTACCCAGAGGAAAGAAAGCAAACGACATCCTGGATTCTTAAAGGAAAAATTGCTCCTTTTAAAAGGAGGCTGGCCATGGATTACCATTCTAAAAGGGATAGATAACAAAATGGGTTTGAATTTCAGGCAGGGCCTTCCTGGAGAGGTATTAGGAAGCGCCTTCCACTTCAACCTGGGAGGACAGGCTGACAGGTGCAAAGAGGAGCCCGACCCTCTGACCTTGCGCCTGAGGTCAAAGATCCCTGGGGTCAGACCTGATGCTCCCGATTCAGTTCACTCTGTTTCTCTCATCGTCCCTGGCCCCCACCCTCTCTCTTCTCCTTTCTGTCCCGCACTGAGCACTGTAGCAGCTCCGACTGAGCAGCCCCAGGGGAGACATTCTAACTCCTCCACATGCAGCCAACTGCGGCTCTGGGGCTGCTGCCCTGCCTTCTACCACTCCACGTGGTTACTGAGCATTTCCTACATGCAAGGTGGTTCCGGGCAGTGTACATATGTTCTAATCATCTTCACAGTGACCCGTCATTATCCCCATGTTCCAGAGGAGGAAATAAAGGCAGAAAGAACTTGTCACATCCTGGCGTCCCACAGCAAATAAGCAACCAAGGCAAGATTTGAGGCCACTCTGCCTCCAAGTTTTAGTCACTACGCTCAAGTTACTTTTATAAAATCCTGCCTGAGCTAAGCCTGCTCATTCCCACTCTCTGTTTAATTATCAGGGACTCCTTGAGAGATAGGGGTGGATTTTCATTCCCATTGTACAGATAAGGAAACCAGAAACTTGAGTGACCTGCTAGGTTCCCCAGAGGGAGAGTGAGGTGTGAATGGGACGGCAGCCTCAGGGTGCCAGAGCCCCTCCCCACCTCTCACACGGTGCTGGGAGGCCTCCGCCCGCCACCCGCACAGCATCAGAGGCGTCACTCACCACTCACCTCGCCACCCACGCGGCAGAGGGAGGCCTCAGCTCCCAGTGTCTTACCTGGATTTCTTCAATAGTTTTTTCTACTCCACTGTCTACTTGATGTATGACCTTGGGAATGTTGTTTTATCTCTTCTAGCTTTAGTTTTCTTATCCACACAACAGTACCAACAACAAATACTTTCTTCATAGACTTGTTGGGAGGATTAATTGAAATAATGTGTGTAAGTCATTAGCACAGAGCCTAGTATATAGTAATTGTTCAGTTAATAATAGCTAGTTAAAATTGTAGCTATTAAAAACCATCATCATTATGTAATGTTTTTGAAAATATTACCAAGTTAAGTTTTCTATTGTCCATAGATTATGTTACTCCTGCCCCTCTGCTCATTGAATCAATGGCGTGCATTGCTTCAGGGGAAGAACAGTTATGGGCCAGGACAAAAGTATCACTGTGGAAGCAATAAGAGCTGTAATCTTCACCCCCATTCTTGTTGAATCCTCCATACTTCTTGTGAGTACAAAATTAGACTTTTTCCATTAAGCCATAGTGCAGAGACCATGTAGAACATGTGGTAACAGCTGTTCCCCCAAGATAGTAAGTCTAAGTGGAAAGTCCTTCTGTATTGTGGAGGAAGATCTATCTGGGCAATGAAAGATCTGTGATGAGTGTTCTGGCTGTACCTTCTCTTGGGCTGAGAAACCAGAGATTGGTGAAACCCCAGAGGTGGAGATGGGGGAACTACTGTGTTCCCCAGGACATAGCCTGGGCAAATTTCAAGCCCTTTTAAGAAAGCCTGAAGCCTGAGACCAGCAAAGAACGAAAGCAGCAGGGAACCCCCTGGCCATATAGAAATGGTCATAGAAGGCGGCTCTGTAAGAGTGGCTCAAAGGCAACTTCCCAGAGTCTTGCACACTCCTGCATGGTTGAGAGAAGGTGGCCGAGTTCCATCAGCAGCCCTAGATGGCGGGGAGAACAGGTGGCTGGAAACAGGGGTGGGTTGAAAGCAGAGAGCTACTGAGTACAAGGACATGTTCAGGGTAGGGTGTAACAAGGACCGCAGACTTCAGCTATGGCAACCCACACCATGCCCAAAGAACCTTGCTTCTCTTCCTGTTTCCTCTCACTCCATCCTCCCCTTGGCCGAGTGCATTCCCCAGTGAGAGAAGCGCTAAGGTACAGACAGCACTGGTCCCCTCCAGAGGCCCTCTTCTCATCAGACATGACACCCAAGCATGGAACTGCACTCACTCTTCCATATACAACTCCCAGCAAAGCTTCGTGGGACTAGGGGCTGGGCCTTACATAGTCTTGCTATGTGACCTTGGGCAAGTCTCTCCCTTTCTCTGGATCTCATTTTTCTCATAAATAGAGCAAAAGAGTTACATCAGAGAAGCCCACACTTCCTTCCCTTCCATTGTGGGTGTTCCATGATGGCGAGTCTTAGCTCACTCACACAGTTTTCTTTCCTTGTTCTCTCCATTGGTAGATTCTACAGTGTTGCTTACTCATGTCTTGACATACTACTTTGCAATTGATCTTTGGTTTATAAGTGCTTAAGAGCCAGCTCTCTCACTTAGGTCCTGTGCTAACTGCAATCCCTAAGAAGCTCAGAGAGGAAGACAGTGTATACAAACGTTGGGATATTTGAATTACAACTATGACTTACAGGTGGTCTGCTAAGTGTCAGGGGCTTTAAACAGATTAGCTCTACCCTTCACAATGAGCTTGAAACTAATATTATAATTTATACTGAATTATTTTAGTAGGGCTTACAGTCACATAGAGTTGGATTTTGTTTGATTCTCTTATCATATCATTTTGCTTTTCATTCCCATCTTGAAAGTTTATTTCCTGAAGTGCCTAGATATTGGCGTGGGGGGAGGGGTGAACATCTGGTTGTGTCATGTGCTGTGAGCACACTGTCTGTGGGCTCCGTTTCAGCTGAGTGATGGGCACTCACCACCCAGGACTTCAGGGCTGGCCACATAGCCGAGTAGCAGGAGCAGCCGCGTGCTTTTGGAAGCCATCATCCTCTTCCCTGGAGGACACGCCTGCTACAAGGATCTTAGAGACCTTGCGAGTGTTTCTCTGAAATTCCTGGATGATTTAGAGCTGCAAATCTGAGCACATTGGCACCTGTAAGGAGGACTCGGGAATTTAGCTGCCATATCACACAGATCTGAAGGATAAGGATACAGTATTGGTCTGGCTAAATCAGAATTGACAATGAAAGGAATCTGAATTGAAACATAAACATGAAAAGATTTTAACTTAGATTTTGTTCTCACCTGCAAGGTCTTCTGGGCCAGTACCAGAGACCTGTCTGGAGCGGGCTGCAATTACGGTGTGTAGTGCCTGCCCCTGTTACTTTCAGGAGAGCCAGCAGAGGGCGTCCAAGGCAAGCTTTCGCACGGAGGAGGAGGCGATGGGCGCTCTGTAGATTAAAAAACCAAATCAAGTGGTTCCAACACTGAAGTCTTTAGCGCTAGAATTAAAAGTGAGGATATGGTTTAATACCCATATTTTGCAAAAGAGAAAACCTAAGGTCGATGGGTGTGAAGTCCCTTGCTCATGGCACCAGCTACGAGCAGATGTGACTTCAGCCGAGCACACTTTCCTTCTTTTTTAAAGAACATAGCTTTACTCAGTATATTTCCTCAAAGCAGAGCTTTCTGCTTTCCTCATTATCAAATCACATGTAATTCATTAAAAGATCAATGAAAACTAGAAAATAGGAAGGAAATAGGAAATCTCATCTCCCTGACATACATAATTTGGTGAATAACGTACAGTTATCTCTCTCTGTGTACAATTTTATGTAAATAGAATCATGTCATTCTGTAATCTGGTTTTGTTTCTTAGAAACAGATTGATCATAATAAATTTTCTTACACTCACATAAATTTGATGCGGTTTTGACTTCTCCTTGTGTAAATTTACACCTGCAGGGTTGCAGTGTCACAGGCTGTGCATTGTCACCTGGGTGCCTTTCTCCAAAATGCTCCCTCATGGACCGTAATGGACTGGAGTGCACAGGAATATTGGTTCCCCAGACTTCCAAGGAAAACCTTACTTTGTCAATTTCTTGTGCTAATTTTGGCATATTAAAGAAAAGCTTTAGTGTTTTTTAATACTTTAAAATTACTAATGAAGTCAGACATCTCTTCATATAATGATTAGCTGTTAGTGCTTCTTTTGTGAATTTTTGGTTTCCCACTTTGTACATTTTTTTAACTTCATTGTGTCTTTGTCAGTGATTCATAAGATCTTTTTTGCGTAAGTATTGTATTTCCGTTTGTATTTTTCACCATTCTGAAATTATTAGAAATTATATTATCTGTAGAGGACGCCAAGAGTTAGACGACCTCAGAGCAAGATGATCTGCCCCTGAGGGGTGGCCCCTCGGGCCATTGGTCCACAGGTGCTCCTTGTGGAGAAAGAGCCCGAGCCTTCAGCACCTAGTCCTTGTTAATTACTCCCCTCACCTGCGTTGTACAGTCTCAGTAAAAGGCTGGTGTGGAGGTTGCTCAGGGCTATCCTGCAAAGAAGGGCTAGCCCGCTACGAGCTTATACCTCTAATCCGCCTCACCCCTGGTTCCTTCCTGCTGTGATCGAGACCAGGCCATAGGGGCCTGAGGGGTTGCGACAGTTACCCTTTTTAGGTCTGGGTGTGAAGGCCCTTGGTCAGGGCAGAGCAGATCTGGCTTCAGCGAGCACACTTTCCTTTAGACTGAGTTGATAGCACTCTTTTCTTTTTTTAAGAACATAGATTCAGTATATTCAGTATATTTTGGCGTTTATATCAGAAAGGCCGGCTATTGCTATTTGACTATTTATATTCATCACTTTGCCTTTCGATTTTCATCTATCTGGGTTTTAATTCAGTGTAAACATGCAATTGAATTGTTAATTTTTCTCCCAAACAATTTAATATTAATAGATGACTCATCTTAATGATGAATAATTTGGCCTGGCAAGGTGGCTCATGCCTGCAATCCTACCACTCTGGGATGTCAAAGCAGGTGCATTGCTTGAGCTCAGGAGTTCGGAAGACTAGCCTGAGCAGGAGTGAGACCCATCTCTACTAAAAATAGAAAAATAACTAGCTGGCCATTATGACAGGCACCTGTAGGCCCAGCTACTTGGGAGGCTGAGGCAGGAGGATCACCTGAGCCCAAGAGTTTGAGGTTTCTGTGAGCTGTGATGATGCTATAGCACTCTACCCAGGGCAACAGAGTGAATGAGACTCTGTCCTTAAGCTTCCAAAAGTAGGGTACATGGACTAACTTTCAAATAATAGATGGATTAAAGAGAATGGTGGAATATACTATTTGAAATGAAGGCTTTTCTGGGAAATGCAGTCTGGGTTCCATATGAACATTGCAGTGTGTGTTAGCAGAGAAGGGGACAGAGGACGTCCTCTTATAATCATCGAGTGAACCCTGCACACCTTTGCTGAACCCTCCTTCCAAAAGCAATAGGGTATTTTCAATGTCTGAAAACCACTTGAAAATGCAAATTGTTAAAACTTCTCTGTTAAGCTGACCATCTGAAGGAAGGGAGGTGATTAATTATTTTGATTAATCTATAAAAGGTATTCACTGAATGACTGCCATGTCATTTAACCCTCCTAACCGGGCAGCAGTGCAGGTAACCCTTATTTAGAGATGAAGAAACTGACGTTATAGAGATGAAGTAAATTTCCCAGCGTTTCACAGCTCCTAGACTGCAGAGCCATGATGTAACCCAACACTGATCTACACCAAACCCAGTGCTTTTTACAATGAGAGAAAAGCCAAAATAAGAAATTCAAATCAAACAATGTAGCAACAGAAAGAATGACTTAAATCACAATTTGTAATTTCTGGCCTGGTTGATAGCTGGCAGAAGAAGACAGATGTCCAGAGAAAGCCCTCCACCCTCAATCACAGGAGGATTACCTGGTTGGCAGCCAAGGCTTGAGGACCTCTCCTTGGTGTCTGGAGTGCTCCCAGCCGGAGCTCTTATATCTTCTTGCCTGAGATTTTAATCATAGAGAATAATATTGTTTATAGGTAATAATGCATCCATAAAAGCCTTATCTGCGGTTAAAAATGAGCTGTATCAGAGGTGGCCTGAGAATGATCAGGTTGTGCTTCGACTAGCCGGGAAGCGAGCCACTCCTGGTGTGCAAACAGAAGCTTTCTTATATCCTGTTATCAAAACTGACAATATCCCACAATCTGTTCTAAGCTCTTTTTCCTCTCCCCTTATTTTATTTTTCCTTTTGTCTCTCTTTTTACCCCTTTTCTTTCTCCTTCTAACCCTGGGACCTGGGTTCTGGCCCCGGTGGTGAGACTGAGGTGCACCCACAGAATTTCCTTCCTAAAGTACCAACCCTGTCTGCCTCCCAGGCATCATTTTCTTAGATGCCTGCTATTCATATAGCTATAAGACCCTGAAATCTTATTTGAATGCTGGGCAATTAGGTCTAAATAGCCTACATTGATAGAATAGTCAAGTGAAGTATTTTCAAGTAACTCATCAGGTGAGAGCCAAACAAAATCCCCGTGAGTAACACAGGACAGTCAATCCCTTTACACACTCGGGACCCTGATACTAACAGAAATGAGCAAACCTGCCCCAGTTCACAGTGACATCCCCTCAGTGGTGGGGCTGGACCCTGACCCCAGGGCTGCTGACTCCAAATCTCCAAATCTAGCTCTGTTTTCTGAAGCACAGTCTTATTGAGACTACTTAAAAAGGGGTAACAACAACATTTTCGTTTTCAGTATAGCTTGCAACGAGTTACAATAGGTTGTAGGTAGCAGAGATCATTTAACTTCAAACTAAAGACTTAAGTCTGTAAAGAACCTTTATTTCTGGAAACTTTAAGCTGGGAAATGACCAAAACTTTACTCTTTTATTCTGCTGCTGATAAACTTGCGCTGAGAGAAATGTCCCGTCTAGTTTAATTTGTAGTAATTTCTGGGTGAAGCTAGTATCAGAAGCCAGGCTTCTTTGCTCTCAGCCCTATGTTGTTTTAAAAATGCTGTTCAGCAACAATAAAACTAAGTAAGTAAGACTTATTAAGCTGAGAAGCTTCTGCACAGCTGAGGACACAACAATCAAAGTAAAGAGACAACCTTCAGAATGGGAAAAGATATTTGCATGTTACAAATCAAAGGGTTGATAACCAGAATCTACAGAGAACTCAAATTAATCAACAGAAAAAGACCAAACAATCCCATTTATCACTGGGTAAGAGACATGAACAGAAACTTCTCCAAAGACGACAGACAAATGGCCAACCAACACATCAAAAATGCTCATCGCCCCTAATCACCAGGGAAATGCAAATCAAAACCACCTGAAGCAATCACGTAACCCCAGTGAGAATGACCCACATCACAAAGTCCTAAAGCTGCAAGTGCTGGCGAGGATGTAGAGAGACGGGAACACTGCTGGTGAGATTGCAAATTAACATAGTCTCTTTGAAAAGAAGTACGGAGAATCCAAAAAGTAGACCTTCCGTTTGATCCTGCAATCCCATTACTAGGTATCTACCCAGAAGAATAAAAAATCATTTTACCATAAGGACATTTGCACTAGAATGTTTAGCAAATCCCAATTAACAATTGCCAAGATATGAAATCAAGTCCCCATCAACCCATGAATGGATTAATAAACTGTGGTATATGTATACCATAGAATACTATTCAGCCATAAAAAATGAGACTTTTATAATTTGTATTAACCTGGATAGAATGGAGAATATTATATTTAGTAAAGTATCACAAAAATGGAAAAGCAAGTATCCAATATACTCAATACTAATATGAAACCAGTAGATGAACAAATACACATCCACAAAAGAGAAAAACACAATTAAACTCAAGTTGGGAGTGCAGGGAGGAGGTTAGGGAAGGGGAGATTGGTGTGCTCTCACCTCACAATGTAAGGTATATGGCACTCCTCCTGGGCATGGGACACTACTACAACTTGGACTCATTGCTTTGTGGCACAAGCAAAAACAAAGATATTAACT